AAGAGTAAGTAATTTGTAGTTTTTATTCGATTTTTGTGAGTTTGTTAGTTATTTGTATTTCAGCTAAATGAATGTAATTATTACTATGATTTGTGGAGAAAGATAGTTGTTTGATTATGTGCTTGTGTTGTTCTTGGTGTTTCCAGATTTAAAAAAATAATAATAATAAAATAAAATTTAAGTATAAATAAAAAAACAAAACCGAACCAAACCTAAAGAGAATCGAAAAAACCGAATCACAAAAAATCAAGAGAAAAACTGAATTGAATTGAACATTAACTTGTGACCAATTAACCAACTAACAAAATCACTTGTTACAAATAACATCTTGTTGTTGCATCAAAATATATAAATGTTGACTAACGTGACTAACATTGATTGAACTTGGTAAAATGAAATGGTTGATCAATTGAAAAATGAAATTATTCAGGAATAACTATTGAATGGTAAGATTACGTATTGAATTCCTAGTAGCAAACACATAATAAAAAAGTGTGTGTTACTATTTCAGAAGAAATGAAACAAAAAATATGGTAAAGTTATGACAGTTATTGTCTAATGCTAGATGCAGAGGTACATAATAGATCAATATGAATATCAAGAGTTGTCCTGTAATGAAATCGGTTGTTGCTAATACTTTCTTCTCGGTTCCTTCTTTTACTTCTTCCATAACCCGAGCTCGGAAAATGAACAGATAAGAAGGCCCTATGGAAAATGTGTTCAAAAATTCAAAAAGAGTCTGACCATAACGAACGAGTTGATTATCTTCATGCATAAGGATATTAAATTACATAGTATAAAAGATTTTTCATCACAAACCTCCATTTTTTTTCTTTTCTATTCCGATTTCTAAATAATTATATGTTGATTTTTTACTTTTTCATATTAATGTTTGATTTTCAGTTTTCTTAGTTTTGACCAAAAACTAAAGTACTTGAAACTGAACCACTTATCATAAATACTTGATGAAAAAAATGAGGCATAGAGCCAAGTAATCTAGAACCTCTCTTTTGTTCATGAAGAAGAAAAATGTGGGAGTAGGATTATCTCCTCTCCTAATCTATTATCTATCTCTCCCTTCATCTCCTCTTATTTAAACTGTTACGATTACGCCACATTTACATCTTGTTTTGAAATTTTTATATAGAGAATAAGACCAAAAAAAAAAAAAAGTATGAGCGGAGGGGGATGGAAGGGGATAGTAATAGGAAGGGATAAAATCCTACTCAAAAAATGTGGTATATAAATAGATATAGACAGACTGATTGACGGTATGTTTCACAATGAATGGTCTCTTCGATCAGGTGATGATCATGCTGATAATTTTAAAGTTGTGGTCCTTTTTATGTTTGAGACTAGGATTCTCTCCCCTCCTCTTTCGATCCCCTTTCATTCTCTCTTTGTTCAATAGTTATTCCTGAATGTATTCATGAATAAGAAGTAGGATTCTCTTCCCTTTTTTTTCCCTCCCTTCAAACATAAAACTTAGTAAAATGAAATGTTTGAAGGAGGTGAAAGTTTGCTGTCCCGGGGACCTCGACAAGGAGCCCTTCCTGTTCTTGGAGCAGTGCCCTCATTTTGCTTTCGAGGGCACATGTTTCATTTCGTTTGTCAAATTTTATATTAGTGTGTGATATGGAACTTGAGTAGATCCCAACAATCTAATTATATGTTGCCGCGTGGATTAATCATTAGAAAACAAAAACAAAAGATCATCATCTTCATCTCCCCTAGGAGGAGCCTCTTAGTGTGAGGGACTTACTCGTAACTCTTCTCTTTACCGATTCGCCATATCCAAGGCGTAGAAAGTACTACCGTCACCAAAGCAATGCCTCGGATCGCTGCAATATTGATGTGTATCTACAAAAGCTCGATGTAATGGTTTAGAAACAACATTAATTAATTTTTAATTGAGTGGTCGTTGAATAAAATGTGACTATTTCAGATATTATTTATGATAAAAATACTAAAAATAATGAGAAGGTTAGTCTGAATATGTAAATTGACCTATAGTTTTGATACAAATTGATGGACAACAAAAGTTTGGATACAATTGGAGTGATTACTTCAATATTACTGCAAAGCTAAAAAGAAGAAAAAACAAAGTCGACAAAGAGCACCTCCAGCGCAGCGGAAGGCAAATTGCCTTTGCAATTGGAACCCTGGCCTTTGGACCGAATTTTGGTGCTCCAGCGGTGGAAAAAATGGCGAATGGGAGAAACGCAGGATCTCTATGGGCTGCCTTGCCAGTTGTTGCACGGCCTTGCGTCCTTTGAATCAACGATCGAAGAGATTTTCCAATGTGACCGATACACGGAGTGGTACACTACGTATTACTATACAAATGATACGATATGTGTGCTAAAAAGTTAATAACTTAAAAAATAAAATTTTCCATCACTTATATTAAAATACATAGTGTACCATTTGTGTTCTCGACACCTGGCATTCGTGTCGTGTTTCTCTTGTTCGTGTCGTTTTCGTATCATACCTAATAACTTAACGGATCATATCGTGTAATATCTGTTAAAGTAATACCAGTCTTCGTCGCGCAAAGGCCGTTTGCATGACGTTTTTGTGCGTCACGCAAGATTTTGGCGCCAAACCAAGAATGCTTTACCCTTTTTTTCCTAACTTTGCGCAACAAAGGCTGGCATAAAATAGCTTTGAGTGATGAATGCACACCTTCGTTGCGCAAAGTCAATGATTTTGTGGTATAACATAATATTTGTGGTATCCAGTTGTGTAAATATTTTAAATTGACGATCAAATTAGTTCATTGTATTCATATAGGATCAAGGAGTGTAGCTGTAAAAAAACATCAAAATCGAAGTTAAAACTATCGTTAAATCGCGATTTTTCGTTTCTAATCGTTAAAAAGTTTTGTCTCATTACTTAATTTATGAATGTTTGTTTTTTGCGATTTTTGGCGTATGCGATCTCAAAGTATATACAAACAAGTTTTTGACGGTTCGATCGTTGAAACTAATTTTGTAGAATGTATATCCCATCAAAACAATAAATTCACTAACACTTGAAGTTTATTTATACTTTCATTAAGTATAACATAAAGATTTTGTGGTATCCACCGGTGTAAATATTTTAAATTGAAGATCGAAATCATTCATTGTATTCATATAAGGTTAAGGAGTGTAGCTGTAAAAAATAATCAAAATCGGACTTAAAACTACCGTGAAATCGTGAGTTGTTTATAACCATCGAAAAGTTTTGTCCCGTTACTTGATCTCTGAATGTTTGTTTTTTGGGATTTTTGGCGTATGCGATCTCGAAATATATACAAACAAGTTTGACGGTTGGATTATTGAAATTAATTTCGTACAATGCGTTTCCCATCAAGTTTAATGGTGTATATATATTTACTAAGTAGATTTTAATTAATTTATTTATTTTGTATTCGTAAGCAAAAGGGGTAAAAAAAAAAACATTGCGCGACGCAAGTTTACCTACGTCGTGCAAAGTTTTTTTTTTGCCCTTTTGCTTTTCTTTTGGGGTTCTTGCATTGCCTTTTTCTTTTGTGGTATCCACTAACGTAAATATTTTAAAATGACGATCGAATTAATTCATTGTATTCATATAGAATCAAGGAGTGTAGCTGTAAAAAAAAAAAATCAAAATTAGAGTTAAAAGCACCGTTAAATCATGATTTTTCGTTTATAACCGTCGAAAATGTTTGTCCCGTTACTTGATATCTGAATGTTGGTTTTTTGCTATTTTTGACGTATGCGATCTCGAAGCATATATAAACAAGTTTGACGGTTTGATCGTTGAAACTAGTTTTGTATAATGCGTTTCCCATCAAACGATAGATTCACTAACATTTAGAGTTTATTTATATTTTCATTAAGTATAACATAAGATTTTGTGGTATCCACTTGTGTAAATATTTTAAATTAACGATCGAATTAGTTCATTGTATTTATATAGGATCTAAGAGCGTAGCTGTTAAAAATATCAAAATCGGAGTTAAAACTATCGTTAAATCGTGCTTTTTCGTTTATAACCGTCAAAAAATTTTGTCCCGTTACTTGATTTGTTTTTTGTGATTTTTGGCGTGTAAGATCTCGAAGTATATACAAACAAGTTCGACGGTTCGATCGTTGAAACTAGTTTCGTAGAATGCGTATCCCATCAAAACAATAGATTCACGAACAATTAGAGTTTATTTATACTTTCATTAAATATGACATAAGATTTTGCGGTATTCACTTGTGTAAATATTTTAAATTAACAATCAAATTAGTTCATTGTATTCATATAGGATCAAGGAGTGTAGCTGTAAAAAATAATCAAAATCAGAGTTAAAATAATTGTTAAATCTTGATTTTTGGTTTATAACTGTCGAAAAGTTTTGTCCTATGACTTTATCTCCGAATGTTTTTTTTTTGCGATTTTTGGCGTATGCGATCTCAAAGTATATACAAACAAGTTTAACGGTTCGATCGTTGAAACTAATTTCGTAGAATGCGTATCCCATCAAGTTAAATGGTATATATATTATTTATTAAGTAGCTTTAAAATTAGAGAGTTTTAACGAAAATCTCACAATACTGTTCACTTTAACGAAAAACCATATTTTTACATTAAAAAGTCAATCATGGTACTATTCACTTTACCCTTTATTTTGTCATTATCGTTAAAACTCAAAGTTTTCAAGTCATTTTCATTAGTTTTCCTTTAAATTTATTTACTTTGTACATATAACACTTAAGAAATTGAATGGCATGAATATTTATTAAATGACTTCAAATTTATTATTATAGTTCGAATTGGATTTTTGTTAAAAAAATATATTATTGTGAGTTTTACATAAAAAAATTGAATTTGAAAAGAATAAAGACACAATTTCAGTAAGTTTTTTTTTTTTAAATACGATTTGCACGACGCCACGATGAGTCGGTGCGCAAACTAACTTTGCAGTTGCACGACATCTGAATGTACACCAATGTTTTAAAATTTTTGGCGGTTTAATTGTAAAAAATACGCGCTTTCCTCGAATTTCCCAAATTTGGACAAAATGGAGGTGCAAGCCGTGCAATTGGAAAACAGTCGGTCTCTCTTCCCTCTCTCTCACTCGGTCTCTCTCTTTCTCTCTGTCACAAAATTGCAGAGGCCGAACGAAACCCTAAATACCAGGTAAGTCGTCCTCTCCTTCCATCTCCCCAAGCTCTCTCGCACGGCCTCTCACCAGTCACTGCTCACCAAGTCGCCAATCACCATCGTTTTCCCCCTCCAGTCGCGTCCTCCACCACCAAACTCCCATTCGCGTCGTCCTCCATCGGTTTTCTTTCTCTCACCATCGTCCTGCACCACTAGCTGCTAAGTGCTTACTTCGCCACTCCAATCTTAAGGTAAGACGATGTGTTGAATTTTTTTTTTTTTGGCATTTTATAAATTAGGGTTTTGGATTTTGAATTTACAGTTAGGGTTTTTCTTGATACATAATGTGATTCCGTAATCAATTACTCAAATTCTGTAATCAAGCTTTAATGCCTTAATTTGAAGATTTTGGTATTGTAATTAGATTTAATTTGGAAAATTAAATTAGAAATTGGGGGTTTTAGTGTTAAATCGAATTTTAGGGTGGTGGGTTGGTGTGCTATAGTTTTAAATCGAATTTTAGGGTGGTGGGCGGACTGTGTCTTATCATTGGATTGCATTGTAAGTGGAGGATAACAAATTTTTGGACTTTGGGATTCCTTATATTTTCTCCGATACTGTAAATACTAGAGACTGAATCTGTGATAGTACTGAATTCCTTCAATCAGATGATAACTTTGTGATTCCATTATCTTCTGTTATGAATTTAACTTTTCTTGCATGCAAACTTCAATTCCGGAGTTGGCAGCCTCACACCAATTCCAAAACAAATCCATACATAGATCAGATACTGAGATTTTGGAATATTCTGCATCGTAGAATTAGATGGTGTTGCCTACATGGTGATACTTAAAATGAATTTAATTTGTTAGTGTGCACGACTACTTATAATGTCCTTCTATTTATCACTTGATTATCTCAACCTTAGGTAATTAGTAATCAGTGACGAGAAAGTTATTATTTCTTTTAGATATAGCTCCTTGGCTTGATTATTATATTTGTCCAATTTTAATTTTGGAATTTTTTTTCAAGGAAATATAGGTTTTGGCCAACTGGTTTCCGTTGCTATAGCCTGCCTATATTTTCACTGTGTGTTGATTACCACGTGATTTCCATTCAAAATCAAGCTACCCAGAAAGATGTGTTCCAGTTGTTTGCTGAGAAGGTGAGAGACAATAAGGATTTAGTGTCTAGGTGGGCTGTTCTACAGGAGCCACATGTGGAATATTTCAGGGGAGCTAATCTCTTAATTGTTCTTGTACAATTAGCTTGCTGCCCTTGCAGTTGCAGGCTCTGCCCTTTAGTTTTTTCGTTTCATCTTGGGAACCACTTAAGGTGACTAAATCCGGCTTTTCTGTTTTAGTATATCTGCATTGCCTATGTACTCCTACTTTTTATGATCATACTACGCTTTTTATGTTTACTTTGGATTTGTGTACTGTTTACGTGTGGTGATATTATCATACCCTTTTGTACTTTTTACTTTAGATTGCAATGTTTTGATTTTATATTTATAAAACATTGAAAACTATGGAGGAAATGGGAGAACTTACTCTAAAGTGTTTTGAAATGTTCCTTTAGTAGGTTTACTTGTGTTTAAATCTTTTCTTTCTGTATGCTTTCTTCTCTTCATGTGTTTTCTAAGCACCACACACCACATCTGCTAAATGGTTTATTGTTATTTGCAGGACCAAGTATTTTCTGAGAACGATGCCTTCTCTGCATGGACTTTTGTAAAACGAAGGCCTCTCTGGCAAACACTTCTTTCATTTGTCTGGCCGGTGGTTACATTGGCAATATGCTTGTTTCCTGTATATCCGCATTGGTGCAAGCTACTAATACTCTACTCATGTCCCGGGGTCCTGCTACTTTTTTTTTTATCTACTAGTTTGAAAGTTCTGAACTTCTGGTCATTTGTTTTTAGTTTAAAATATTATTAGGAACTTTACATTCTCTTAAGTCTTATTGGTTTACAGTGATGTGGATATTAGAGTATAAATTATGTTCATACCACCCCTATTCAAAATGATCACTATTTTATTACACTTACTGCTGTGTTGGATATAGCGACAATTTTGCACATTAGTGATGTGGTGGACAGCAATGTGCCTTGCAATTGACATATCGAATTTCAGGGTATCAGAAGGTAGCTAAAGGGAAATTTAGTCTCTAGGCTCTTATTTTTACTCAAGTACTCAATTTCTCTCCCTCTTTCTGTCCCTATTCAATGTTGTCTCTGTAATTTCTTGAACCATTGGTTTTTAAATAATCTTGTATTGAAATATCATTTCTCTAATTAAACGGGTGTAGTTATTTTTTGAACATCATATTTAATTGGGTTAATGTGCATGAACTTTTCAAGCAATTTATTAGTGAATTTTGTAAATATTGTGAAGTTCTGGATGTATTTTGTAAGGGGTGTTGATTTGGATGAAGGGGTAGGGCAATTGTGAGTAAGTTTGCGTAGCTTGGAGATCCTGAGTATAATCCGCCTGTCCAAAAGGGCGAACTCCTATAAGTTTTTTACTTGAATCACTTGTATGAGGACTTAGCGTTATAAATCTTTGTTTGTAGTGACATTTATTTGTTTTGCTTTGTGGGATTCAGACACAAAGTAGGGCTTGAATACACCAGTTAAGGCTTTGTAGAAGTTGAATGGTTGTGCAAGCTGTTCTAATTTCTGTTTTAGATATATTTCATATCATCTGATTTTGTTTCAAGTTTTAAATGTGTTTATGGGTTTGCATGATGCATGCATTATCTGTATATCTTTCTTTAGCTACATGCTTGCTTGAGAGTTATTAGAGGATGAGTTTTGTCTCGTATTTGCAATGCGCCTATGTTGTAAGATACACTTTTAGGATTAATAATTGGATTAAGGTAGATTTCCAATATATAAATCATGTACCAATTGCCAACTATGACGACCTCTTATCCTTTTGAACATTCTCTCTACCTTAGCTAGCTAGCTATGAACTTGATGATATTGTAATGATGTCAATCAATTTAATCATTGAATTACTACTTTTATTTCAAATTATAGCTGCAAGCCAATCTTATCTTCTATGTACTTAAGCTTTCAATTTGCTTTGAGAACTATTAAATGTAATGAACTATGGTATTGCCTTTGTTCCCTTAATCTGTATATTGCCTTTGTTTCATGTATCTTCTCTGCAACCTATTGGAGTCTAAGTAAGAAATGGCTCAATTATTATGTTTTATCACATGACAACTCATATTTAGAACAAAGAGGGTGTGGTTTTGGTGTAGTGATATTTGTATCATAATTAAACTTGTGGTTGTGTGGTTTTGGTGTAGTAAGATATGAGGAGTGATGAAGGAGCTACATAAACTGTAGCGAGTTGCATGAAGTACTGAGATACATGAAGGAGCTATATGGAGTGATGAAAAAGCTATATGAAGGAGTGATGAAGTAGCTTCATACACTATATGTACAAAAGGGAAGATGCTTTTATCTGCACGTCTTCGAAAGAATTCAAGTTTGTATTTTGGAGTTTGAGGATGTGTGTTAATATATTCAAACATATTTCTTAGGTTTGTAATGAATGTATTGGCTTTACCAAATCGATCTTATATGCATTTGTTTTTATTAATGATAATGCAAAATATTCTTTAAACAATGCTTAGTGGAAATTTTACCAAAAAACATATATTTCTTGCCTCAATTTTCATTGGTTTATTAATTATTGTTTATAATTTAATTACAATATTTATTAAAAATTAAATAAAAAAATATTTAAGCCAAAAAAAAAAAAAAAAGGGTTTGTGTGACGAAGGTTCATTGGGCTAATTTTTGTGCGACGTTTTTTGACTTTACCTGACGAATGAGTTGCATTATGCAAAGTGTTTTTTATACTAGTGCTAGTAAATTAAAATGAGAGCATCAATTAAAAAAGTATGATTTTTTTTTTTTGGGCAAATAAGAACTTTGCTTCTTGAGCAGTAGCGTGTGCTCTTGGGACCAGTCTATTTATACAAATTACAATTGGTAATGTTATGTAAACTAAATTTGCAAATCAAATGATGTGTTACTGATAAGCACATTAATCAACACTTAAATAATAATTCAATCATCAACAAACACATTATTTGGTGTAGAAATTTAGCTTGTCTAGCATTAACCAATTGCAATATGATGAGTAAGTATTATGTTATATATTTTATCCTATTCTTTGTATTTTCTACATAGGACATTCGACTTCCTCTGAAACAAAACATAATCAAATGGACGAATTTTGGAGTGATTCAAGACGTTCGTGTGTCTCTTGCTGTCTTCGTGTCAAAATTTGGGATTTTTCTACCAAGCGGTTATTTTTTGGCAATCAAATAAAGAAGCAGTGTGCGTTGTTGAAAAGTGACGTTTATGGACTTAAAACTGAATTTTTAGAGCCCAAGATGACCTTAGATGGGTTCGTGTGTCACATCCCGGCCCGGGCCCCTACCACATCCCGGGCTAGACTCCGCCGTAGCACGATATTGTTCGCTTTGGGCCCCGACCATGCCCTCACGGTTTTGTTTCTAGAAACTCACGCGAGCAAAACTTCCTAGTGGGTCACTCATCCTGGGAATACTCTGGCCATTTTCTCGCTTAACTTCAAAGTTCCTACAAAACCTGAAGCCAGTGAGCTCCCAAAATGCCTCGTGCTAGGTAGAGATGAGAATATACATACAAAACTTACATGATCTACTCCCCTAGGCGTGGGATCTCACAATCCACCCACCTTAGGGGCCCGACGTCCTCGTAGACACACTTCTGGCCAGAGATTGGCTTTGATACCAAATAAACATACCCCGACCCGGAATGTCCACTAGGACTCCGAATCGAGCTGTGTTGGCCGACATCTGGAAGGTGACAAAGCCATAAAGTATAGTGATGTGGAAAATGGAATAAATTTAAACCTAAAAGTGCATAAAGATACAAGTGCGTTGTTAGTGGGAATGAAACCATTTCACACGCGATATCAGAGCATAAGTAAAGTACAGTAGTGTGGGTAAGGATCATACCCTCAGAGGTAGCCACCTATACTGAGATTCGCTAAGAATCCTCGTCGACACGAAATTTTCAGTAGCTAAAACCTGAAGGGGTGAAAAACAGAAAATGTGAGTAGGCAAAAACAAAGTTTTTTTAAACCATTTCTCTTTCCAAAAATAATAACCCCTCACCGTAAAACCCGCATAATTTCCCATAAAATAATACTAAATACGTATATGGAAATCATGCTCGAGAGTAGTGAAAAACCAAGTATATGCCATGTCAAGTATCTCAGCAATGAAATAAGTAAGCCAGGTGAAATAAATCAATGTAAAATGATATGCCAGCCGGAGTCACCTAAGGTGACCTGTATGGCTGAACCTATAACTCATCAGGTATGCCTATACACTAGTCGGAACCACCTATTATGGTCTGTACAACAGGGCTGAGTGTAAGTAAGTACGCTCAAATGCTACTATCAGGTGAAGGTTGTGCGAATAATTGAGGGTCACCTACGTGTCGGAACCACCTAATGTGGTATATACCACAGGGCTATGCACCAAACTTAGATCCAAGGTGAGCGTGCAGTGCGGGAGGTGATCATCATGTGAAGGATTGTGCCCTGGCCACGGGCGGGAGCACTAACACCGAGGTGCAGGATAATAAACTCTAAATGCATCTATGTATAACCATAAACAATGCAACCACTATCATCCTACAGTACTCACCTGAAGCTTACCTGGCCTCCGCAACATCATACAATATTATGCATACACATACTAATGCATATACTAAAATGAAATGCAAGTCTGACATGGCACTTAAAAATATACGCTTATTTAAAATAGTTTCTAGGAAAATGTAAAACATATATACATATATATAGAAAACCAAAAGCCCACTCACATGAAGTTCGCGCTACAACTCCTTAGCATAAACATTGAGGCGTCACGAACGATCGGCGCCTAATTGGAGTCCAAATGGTAGAAATGGCCCGAAAGACAGCTGTCTACTGGAAAATAGGTAAATTCGCCAGAATTTCTGGGCAACCTTTCAGCGTCCATAACTTTGTCAATACTCAACGAAATCTAATCGTCCACTGCCTCGGTAAAAGGAACCTAATGGATCGTGCACCAAGTAAGGTAGAGATTGAAGAAACAACGGAGATGAGTAAGGATAATTAAATGGTTTAATTATTTATGGCTAGGATTATTAATATGTTAATTAATCAAACGAATATGTTCGTTATAGACTTCGGGTTAGTTTTGGGCCACAAGGCCCAATGTGATTTGTTTCAACAACGGAAATCATAGTTCTCGATGAGACAAAGAGATTGGTACCTTGGAAATGACTATCTCGCCGTGATTTTACTGGAAAATGACTCGAGAGTGGCAGAGGTCGCCGGAAACTGGGCAAACATTAAATCGTTATAACTTTCTCATTTCTTCACCAAAATAAATGATCCAAACATGAAAATTTATCTAATCAATGAGAAGAATCGATTTATACCTATTTAGAGTTCAAAAGATGGCTGGAAATTTTCTGAAACTGAAGGGAAACCCACGGCTCCAATGAAGGTTCTTGAAATGGCATCCGTGCACAATATTCCGAGAAACCAAAATTTGATTCAGGTTTCTAGGTCCGAAGAGAGTAAGAATATGGTGATTTTCCAAACGTTAATTCGTCGGGAAGGTGGATTGGTGCTTAAGTGTCACGAGGAGGGAGTTGAAGGCGAGAGAGATATATATGAGCTGAGAAGAGGGTCATAGGAGCAAGAAGAAGAGGAAAAGAAGAATCCAGAAAAATGGGGACCAATCTTTGGGTCCCACGTGGCACGCAACCAATTTCACACGTTCAATTGTCAATTTACCTAAATGCCCTCGACATTTAAAGGTTCGTAGAATCTTCGTTATAACTCCAAATTATATTTTGTTTTGCCCACGCGTTCGTAGCAACGAGTACTACGAGAATACGTCAAGAAAACGAGTCTTACATGACATGACACAGCAATCAACAAGAGTCAACACTTTGCCTCAAAGGGCATTTTCGTAAATTCACATTTAAAAATTATAAAAATCATAATTTTTAGGGACGGGTCGTTACATCCTGGCCTTTTGGAGAAGTGTTTAGAATAGTCCAAGCTTTAAATCCAACTATTTTGGGTCAGTTTTGGAGCTGATTTAGCTCCAAAACGTGGATGTGCAGATTTTTGGACGAATTTACCAAATTAATTTAGGATTATGTTTCCTATTTTATTTCAATTTATTAGGTTTCCTAGTTTTATTCTAAGACATTTTGCTAGGAGGATTTTAATTAGAGTAGTACAAATAAGGCTTGTTAGCCATTCGGGTTTTTTACGCAACATTGGAGGAGAACGCACGCACTACTCTAGAGAGTTTTTGAAGTTTATTTTCTAGATGTTCTCTATCCTTTTTCTATTTCAATAAAATTTATTTTGTTTTATGGTTGTTTGTAACTAGTTTCATTTGTTAGGGTGATGCCCTGAGCCTTAGAATGAATATGTAGTTTTTATTTAATTGCTTATGATATTATGCATGCATACTTTGAATTATTAATCACTGTGCTTTAAATTGTCTCTATATCTTAATGCTTAGCTACCATTAGAATGTTTAGATAAGTAATTGGAAGTAATTTAGTCGGAATGCCACCGGGGAATTTAGTATTACTTTTTGTGATTGATAGTTGTAATTTCACCTAGGGTGAATGTCACGTCTTAGGGGTTGCATGGTTTTTCAAGGGGTTTTCACAAAACATATGAGTCATGCATATTTATATTTGATCTGAATGCCACAGACAGATTGCATGTTTGATATATGTTCTAACTTGAATGCCACAAGTAGAATATACATAAGGAAAACCTAACCTTCAAAGTTGCATGGGTAATTCATAAGTAATTGGTAAATCTATATAAGATTGTTAAGGAGACGGCGGAACCCTAGGTTTTTACAATTTGGTTTTCAAAACTCTTTTCTTTTGTTTTCTTTACTTTGCTAATTTCTTAAATCATTTTAATTAAATTCGTTTTTATTATTTTTAATTCAAAATCAACCATTTTCAATCTTTGTTTTCAAATAATTAATTAAGATTTGGTATTTACATAAATTATTCATTCAATTTCAGCGGAAAACGACTTTACTTGAGCCGTTTATACTACAACTACCTTGTTTTCTTACAAGTATTTTTAAGTATTTTTATCCTTATTTTTACAGGTGGTAAAAATTTCATCACAATATATGGTCAAAAGTGATTTGTTTGAATAAAGATCACGTGCATGCAATCCTAATCCAATGGAAGTAGCTATTGATTTGTTGGAATAATGACCACATGTATGCAATCCTAATCCAATGGAAGTAGCTATTGATTTGTTGGAATAATGACCGCACACATGCAATCGTAATCCAATGGAAGTAGCTATTCATTTGTTGAAAAAATGACCACATGCATGCAATCCTACTTAGTAGCACGGATGACAGGGGTGTGGATTGGAGAATTGTGGCCCTACCAGATTAATACCCAAATTAACCTTGTCACAATTTCTTGCCCCTACTGTTTTACCATCTTCCTCTGGAACCAAACAGAAATTAGGGTTGAAGTCCGGTTTTCCCTTTTCTGTTTCCCCAAGGCTTATCGAAGAAGAAAGCTACAATTGTTCGTGCTGCTATTCTCTTGGGAATTTCATTTTTTTGGTTGGATTGGGAATTTCCTTAAGAAGTAAAAAACAAACAAACCCGAATTATTGTATCACTGAATTTATAGGTAAGAACAAAATTGAAGTTACTTTATTCAGATTGTTGTGCCATGTTTATACTATTTTCACATAATTAAGAATTTAATAGTAAAGAAGAAAGCCAAGACGGGTCCGTCGAATATGTGGAATTTATTCTCAACACGTTCCTTCATGTATGACAAATTTTCAAGCTTAACATGTGAACAACACAACGGGATGACATGCAGCGCGTGTGGGTGTTTGACTTCACACGTGGGACAACCTGCTCTGATACCATGAAGAAAGTTAAGGTTTCACCATAAAATCAATTGACAATATGGAGAGTAACCCAACTTATTTATAAACTCATGCAAGGTCCCTCATCCCATCCATGCAAGATCCCTCCCCCTATAATGTGAGATTCATTCTCAACAGGGGACGACACACTCAATTAAAATAGGAAAACAATATCATTCTGAAATTTTTCAAACAAAGCACCCAATACATGGGTATTGGATAGTTACTTGATCACTTTTTTTTATAGGGAATTGTTATTGGCACTCTAAAATTCTCATTCTATACTCCAAACTTTTTATATTTAGAAAGAAAAATACACTTGTAAGGAGTGTAAAATAAGATTTTTGAAGTGCCAATAACACTTCCCTTTTTATATTTTTCTTAATAACTAAATATTGACTCAACTTTTTTTTTTTTGTAATTTTGATAAGAGTAATGCTATTCTTACCATAATTTTATCTCACATTTCTTTACCATCTTAGATGGCAGATGAGTTAGACAAGCTAAATCGTTTAATTTCAATTTTCTTATTAATTAAAACACTTAAATAAGGAAAATTGCAGACTTCAAAATTTCCCTCTGGCGTTAGTAATTTAATTGGGTATGAACTTGTTTGGACCCGATTTTACATTATCGGCCTGTGCAAACAAGACTATTGAGTAAGCATAGCTTCACACCGTCAGATGAAAAGTGGAGATAATTCATTTTGTTATTGTTAGAGGATAATGTTATGATGTTTTATCATAATTATCTTTTAATAATAGTTTATTATGAAAGATGAGATATGTATTTCCAACTGGAAACGGGACAGCACAATTCAAGTTGATTTTGGTGTTTTGGCGCGTGAATATGTGGGTGGCATCAGGTGGTTCAAATTGATTATTATCCCTTTAAAATAAGGTGAAAATCAAAAATGAATTTGAAGTTCAGGATGCATGTGAGAATTTTGGTAAAAGATAATGACAGCCTAGGAAAGTTAAGTTTTTGGTGATGATGTGGTGATGTGATAAGCCTAGGGTTTGAAAGCTACTGGAGTTTTGATAAAAGCCTAGGTGGGCTAGATTTCTTATGACATGTGATAAACCTAACTTTTTTTATGTTTGACAAGTCAAAGGAAAAATCCCATAGAGCAAGTTAAAGGATATGCCTTGGTTTCTGATGCGGATCAAGTTCAGTTCCGTGAATTAGAGTTGTAGTTGGACTCTACAAAATTATATGGTCCATGCCCAGTAGAAGATATGAATGCTATAAATACAAAGGTAGTGGCAACGAGAAGAGGACTTCCAATTCAACACACATCTGCCCTGCGCAAACCTCTCAAACATCTTGAGATTTTTAATTTTTTTTTCCACTAACACATATTCAGTTTGGATAAACAGCACTGTGAAGGCAACCAGTGAACACCTTCAATTTGGATAAACAATATTGTTGCCGTAGAATTAGTTAACCAAAGAACACCTTCAGTTTGGATAAACAGCATTGCGTCGAGGCCGACTGATTACCTATCTAAGTCTCGGTCGAGAAGGGTTTCATAATCCTTATTGGCAGAGGTCATCTTATTGGCCTTCTCGGCGAAGTAAGGTGTTACAAGTTACTACATTCGGCACCTTGAGAGCCGAATTTGATATTGAACTTCGTAGAATTAGCAGCCTTATCTTCAGGCTCGAGAACCTAAAGGCTGAGATTTGTTCCTTCCTCGACCGCAATTGCAAGATCAAGAAGTCAGCAACGCGCTCAACGCAACATCAACAAATTTGACTCCTCAGCTGACGAGTTGGCACACCCCGCATTAACCGAAGGACATAGTTAGCTCATTAATTACTCGGTCTGCGCACCACATAGGCTTTATAATTTTTAGGGTCAACAGAACCCTAATCCGATAGACAAATTTGATTTTGACTCCTAATTCGCATGAAAGCTGATAGGTGTTACTTAATGAAATAATCATATGAAATCCTTCTTTTAAACCACACAAAAAAAAAATGAAAAGAAAAAAAATCACGAGATGAACAAACATGGAGTACCAAAGAAGATTGGAGACATAAATACTTGAAGGGGAATAAGGATTAGGGCTACAGGGCATGAGTCTGGAGATAGAAATCTATGGTGATTGTGGTATACAAGTAAATTCTATAAAGATTGACCATAATCATGGAAATCAACAGAAATCAATAAAAAAGAAAGAGGAAGTAAGAAGAAGCGGGGGAAGGAAGAAGGAGACTCATTCTATACCATAATCATCATTTAATTAACAATCTTTTTATTAATTATTGATTAATATTTTGAAATTAAATGCTAATTAATTTAGATGATATCACTGTCTAAATCAAATGTCATTTAAAATGATATATAATTGTGATACAAAAATATGATAAGAATAACATTATTGCTTTGATAACGCTAAAACTAATATTAAAATATTTATGCGTACACGTTGTAAAACATTAGAATTAGAGCATCAATGTAGAAACTATGATCATTGTATTCGTACGACTTGCAATATATGGTCAATAACAGCTGTCTCCCACCGTGCTTTAAAAATCAAAGGGAAACTAGGGCCACTTCTTTTCCCCAAGAAAGCGAACAGTTTAATTTATTTACGGTTGAGAAAGTCCAAGCAAACTTTCCTACAACTTGCTACAAAAAGCACGTTTTTCGAATCTATTCCAATTTCCAAGCCATGCAAACCGTCCATTTTTTATACAGATTTTGACACTTATTTTGTAGAGTTTATTTTGTAATGTATATTAACGATTTTTGAATCGCCTATATTTCAATTTAACATTCATAAATAATCAATGCAAAAAATTAGACAAATTATAAAATTGTTAATTTACTCATTTGTAATGAAGAAAATGAATGAATATATTTTGCAAATAAACACTAAAATGACTATCATTTAATCTAATGGTCGTATAGTTTGAATTTTGGTGATTTTTTTATAGACATGATATTTAAGAGAAAACCTAAAAGATAAGCAAACACTTAGATTGTTAAAATACATCACAAAATAAGCTCTACAAAATGCGTGTAGCCTTCAATCCTAATTATATATATAGACATGTATAGATCAAATATTATTCCTCGTGAACCTTACCCGATTCTCTCTCCATCTATAAAAACATGCCACGTGCTATAGTACATGGTTGTCGTGTACTAGATGACCACGCAGTATTCCCTGTCAAACCCATCATGACCGACAAATGTGTACGGCCTGCCGACTGTGCAAAGAAAAGTAAAACCTAGAACACATTATAAAGGAAAAGCCCGTATTATTCAGAGTCAAGTAACCATGGCTTCTATGTCACCTCTACTCGTCACCTCCACCACAAGTATCATCCCCACAACCTCCCTCTCCCCTTTCTCCCAAAAGTACCACCGAACTTCCTTATTTCGAAACCCTAGGCATTCCAATTTACAAGCTGTCTCATGCAAAGCCACAAATAATAGTAGTGACCAAAACAAAAACCCTTCCACTAGCTCCAACGATCACGACAATGAAAACCCTTCTCCAGTAAACCTAGACAGAAGAAATGTACTCATAGGTCTTGGAGGCCTGTATGGTGGAGTGGCTGGTCTTGGCAGCGACCACTTCGCTTTTGCAAAGCCAGTGCCGCCGCCTGACATAGACAAATGCGGACCTGCGGACTTACCAAGTGGAGCACTCCCAACCAACTGCTGCCCGCCAACGTCCCAAAAAATCGTAGACTTCAAATTCCCCCCCCCTGCCAAACTCCGCGTCAGGCCGGCGGCTCAGTCCGTGGATAAAGCCTACATCGACAAATACTCAAAAGCCATCGAGCTCATGAAAGCCCTCCCTGACGACGATCCGCGTAGCTTCTCCCAGCAAGCCGATGTCCACTGTGCCTATTGCGACGGCGCGTACGATGAAGTCGGCTTCCCCAACCTCGAGCTCCAAATCCATAATTGCTGGCTTTTCTTCCCCTTCCATCGTTACTACCTATACTTCTACGAAAGAATCTTGGGCAAACTCATAGGCGATCCGACGTTCGCGTTGCCGTTTTGGAACTATGACGCGCCAGCTGGCATGCAAATCCCTGCCTTGTACACTAACCCGGACTCTCCGCTTTACGACAAGTTCCGCGCTGCCAGCCATCAGCCGCCGACTCTCATCGATCTTGACTTCAACGGCACGGATGAAACAATTTCCAACGATGCTCGAATCGACGCCAACCTCAAACTCATGTATAGGCAGATGATTTCCAACGCCAAGAAACAGCTGTTGTTCTTTGGTGCGCCCTTGAGGGCTGGCACTGAACCAGATCCAGGGCAGGGTTCAATCGAAACGGCCCCACATGGTCCGGTTCATTTATGGACCGGAGATAACACGCAACCTAATATTGAAGACATGGGGAATTTTTACTCCGCTGGAAGGGATCCAATATTTTTTGCGCACCATTCGAATGTGGATCGAATGTGGAATATTTGGAAAAGTTTAGGGACTAAAAATAAAGATATTAACGATCCGGATTGGTTGGATTCGGGGTTCTTGTTTTATGACGAGAATGCTGAGCTTGTTAGGGTCAGGGTGAGGGACTGTCTTGATAATAAAAAGCTAGGGTATACGTATGAAGATGTTGAGATTCCATGGCTCAAGACTAGACCGACGCCACGTCGGACAAAGGCGGCTGGAGTGGCGAAGGCCGCTGAGACGACGTCATTAGGGAAGCTGGTGGCGAGTAAAGATTTTCCAGTAAGTTTGGAGACGAAGATAAGTACGGTGGTGCCAAGGCCGAAGCAGAAGAAGAGGAGCAAGAAGGAGAAGGAGGATGAGGAGGAGATATTGGTGATTGATGGGATTGAGTTTGACAAAGATGTGGCTGTGAAGTTTGATGTGTGCGTGAATGACGTGGACGATGATGAGGCACCGAGTGGACCCATCCATAGCGAGTTTGCTGGGAGTTTTGTGAGTGTGCCACATAAGCACAAGGAAAATAAGAGGAGCAAGGGTTGTTTAAGGTTGGGGTTAACGGACTTGTTGGAGGATTTGGGTGCTGAAGATGATGAGAGTGTGGTGGTGACTTTAGTGCCCAGGTTCGGCACTCAGGCTGTTAAGATCGGTAGCATCAAGATTGAGTTTCTTGCTTGAACATATTGTGCTGAAACCCTTCTAGTTTCTAGTTAACTAGCCTCTCTGCACGTGCTTACACACGTGCGGAAGATCCTTTTATAATTATGGCATTCTATGTGCGATTTGTACAATTTAAATGTATTTATTTATGTGGATTTGAAAAGTGAATTAAACATTAAAAGAATGAATGTAACCTTATTATATATTTGATCGAAGCAAAATATCTTTGTACACAACATTTCTTGTGAAGATTCCCACAAATGAACAAACACATAAAACACACAGGAAAACAACATAACACACTAATTATGAACAAACTACCAAAATTAGGACTTCAATTTCAACACGATTACAAAGCCACTTGATGTTTAGCTCGTCAACCCCATTGAATGAAAACAAATTCAATAAGAAAACAAAATATATTAATGCCACACATGTACAAAATGTTTGTGGGGATGAGCAATACCTTATCATGGCCATGTATAACTTAATCAAAGCAACGTGAGAATTCCTGCAAAATTAAAAGAAAAGCATGTAAAGAAAAAAGAAATCAAATTTTTTTACTACTTCAAAAGCCAGAAATTCATCCACTGCCACAATGGCGCGCAGCACCAATTTCCATTGATATAATTAAACAGTATACATAAACAAAGAAATCATCTTTATATCTTGCAGATCAACTGTCATAAAATACATCAATTAATCATCTAACAAATAAAAAATAAAGTTGAAACCTTTTCCAAGCAGATGCTACACATACAAAAAGATATTAATCTTAAAGACCTTAACATCCGGCTTTGGATAATTGGCAAGTATCTGCTAACCTTCCCTTATATGCTACAAATTCTGACCTTAGCTTAGGAGCAATGGAATTTGATTAGAATTATTTAGAGTACAAAAATACGCGTAAAAACATACGAAATTCTTTGAGCCACACAATATTGCTCAATACATCATGGAGTATTAATCAGTCAGATAACCGCAATCAAGGCAACAACAATAAAAACAAAAGCAAAAAATCCATGCTTATACGAATTTAAAAGGTAACTATTTACTGTGTCTGTAATGAATGTGTGAAATCAAATAGTTAAACCCTAAAAAGCTACTAATATTAGTAAAAAAAAAAAACCAAAAAAACAGAATATGTTTCCAACGTATGAAGAAAAGTATGATGCTTCAGTGCAGCAGCAGAGTTGGAAGTCAGAGTCCTATGATTGGTGGCATATTATCTTAGAATTTTGATTCTTTCATTTGATCAGATTCAAGATTTCGAAACCAAATTGGAACCCTGCGTCCTTCCCCTTTAATTACGGAATATGCCCCTAAAAACTCAATAAATTAGAAACAAACTAAAACGCGGGATTAGTGAAGTCCGTAGCTTGGAAAGTACTTAACGAATGCTGCCAGATTACTTCTCTGAAGAGGTGACTTTCTTCGAAGATTACTCAATATCAATAGCGTCTCCATCTGTGGGATGAAATAGCACTGCTAACCCATGCCCATGTACAGTTTCTTTGGCTCTTACAAAACAGTTGCTACATCTACATGTATCCTTCTGTAAACACCATCAAATTAAGATGTAACACAATTAAAAAAAACACGAAATCATTAAATATAGCTTCGATATCTTAGAGAAGCCTAAACCAAAAGGTGAAAAAAAAAAAAAAAAAACTTTGGATTAAAAAAAGTTAGCAATAACTGAAGACTCCGAAAATTGATTCCTTTCAGAATTGTTGTAATAATAATAAATAAAAAAATGGGCAACTATGGATACAGAGCCATTAAAAACTGGGGATTCTTTTATCTTTTCGTTCACAACTATATATTCTTCTTCATGGGTTGGTACATACAACTATATATTTCATTTATTCTTCTTCATAGAGATAAGTAATTACAATTGAACCCACCTTTGCTAATGCTGACCCGTCAGCGAATTGAATTGCCTCTACATTAAAGCAGGAAAAAGTTCAATTTACATGGCTAAATAAGCTTGAGGGTTGCATAAATCAAGTTATTACTAAATAAGGAATAGAGAATCCATGATATTACTTTAGTCTAAAGAATGGTTTGGAATTGGCACTGTAGAAATGAATAGTGTTTCAATCCGAATTTCAGATTATTTACAACCATGCCATTGATCTTTCTGTTGGTTTTGGGTCAGCAGCCCGGCCTTCAGCCAGGCCCAAATGTGTTGGTTTTGGCTGGGAAGCCCGGCCCTCAGTGAGGCCCAAATTATTTAACTACATTTTTGCCCATTAAGATTACAATCCGATGGTGGGGATGATCTATTACGAAGGGCAATTTTGTCCTCTCCGTTTTGGGAGAGATGGGGGGTCACCGGGTAGGTGTCATTTGCTGTCGTTCAATTAGGGTTTCGGGGAGGGTCTGCGAGAGAGAGAGAGAGAGAGAGAGAGAGAGATGGCGATGGAAGGAGAGCGATGGGGAGGGGTAGGGGTCTTGGCACAGTTGCTGCAGATGGGCGGGTCGGTATGGTCAGAGAAGACCATATGGGTCGTCGGGATTTCAGGGAGAGGGGGTAGGGGTCATCAACAAACCCTACCGAGGGTGGGGTGTGCCGGATCTTGCGCTGCATGCCTCAAATCCAAAGATAAGTTCCTTTTTTAAATTGTTTTCTTTAATGGTGCCTTATATTTTCTAATTGTTTAGTATGTTAGGTCCGGTTTTGGGGATTTGTGATTTTATAGAGAGAGATGGATAGGGAGATAGAGATTGACAGAGGGAGGAGAAGGCATGGCTGTGTGCATTTTTGGGGTTAATTAATGGGTTAGTACGCAGGGTCAGTGAGGAGAGTGACAGAGGGGTGTATGGAAGGGTATGGTTTTCACTTTTTTGCTCTGATTCAACAGGTTATGCACTGTTTGCAAATCATTGTTTATTGTTTTGTTTTCCGTTTGCTTTGTTAAAACCATAGTTTCGAATTTTTTGGTTTCACTGTGCTATTTCTGTGCTTCTTGATAATTTCCTGGCGTTTGCTTCTCATCCCTCTGTTGGTAGATTTTTTTTTTTCCATCCCTCTGTTGCTTCTCATCCCTCTGTCGGCTTAGTTTTGGCTAAGAAATAATTAGAGTGCTACTTATTAAGTTGAGTTAACAAATTTGCAGAGTGCAACGGAATGCATGAGAGAAGTTTTGAAACGAGTTAAGAAGATGCCAGCTGAAAAGAGCATACAAGATAGGGAATTGGTATGCTGCTTTGTTTCTATGTTGGATTTATAGCGTTAAATCTGTTTTGAAAATGTGCTTAAAGATTGGACATGTTATTGTATATTAGTCATGTAGTTTGAATTGGATATGTGATTGAATATTAGGTATTTAGTTTGAATTGATTTGGATATGTGGTTTATTGAATTGGAATTTGGATATGCGCTAATTTGAATTGGATATGTTGAAACTTTATATATATCTCAAAAAGAAAATAAAAGGAATTCATTCCACATACAGTCTACATAAAAGATTCCCCTAAGGCATTAAAGCAATCAGGAGCTAGGACAATACTCTGGCAGAATGCAAGTCCACTGCTGGCTAGACATATTTCATGCATTAACAGCCCTGCAATTGTTTCTGATCTCTCCAGCAGACCCTGTAAGAGGACGAATATTCCCCATCTTGATCATAAAATTAGTCCCTGTTGTAGCTTTAGACCAAACTTTTAGTCCCTGTTGTCACAGCTGCATCACTATAAAATAGAATTTGATCTGAACATAGGAGATACAAGACTAATCAGTAGTTAAGGATGCAAATTCACCACTATATAAAACGAGATACGACAAGTAACAAAACATTTATAGCTTAAATGTTGGACAAGACAAAAAGTTATGCTTCTCAGTTATCAAATGTTCATATCAAGTACCAAATGTTCAATGCATTGATGCTTGAAATATTAAATCTCTATATAACTAAAAGAGATTGATAGAAATTGGTCTCTGTAACCAAGTCGTGCTCCTCCCCCTGAAAACATGTAAGGTTGAGGGTTTGATTAATAGGAGTGGAGACTCGGTTTGTGCCTCAAAATATACTCTCTTCTCTGTTGTGTGCTTGAATGCCTTGGATCTGTGACTCTGGATTGCTGAAAATTAGGTTCTTTGCACCCCAACTATCAATTTAGCGAATTTTTTTGTACGGATTAATGCAATCACAAGATTATTTTGTTGATTTTTATACATACGTTTGTGGATGAAGGGCTTAGGTGCTCTTGAAGATGCCCACCGTGATTTTTTTTACACCAAGGGGTGATGGCAACCCAGGCATTCCAACTTGCCCAGGTACTTCAATCTTTTCAGTTTTTGGTAATTTTCGATTGCTGTTTGATTCCTGAGAAAGAGAGGGAAAATAAGAGAAATCATCAAAGTTGATATATATCATTTGTTTTTAGTCACATTGATTTTTACTGTGAGATATTATATGATTATAGTTTATAATTACCTGTGGACTTGAATAGTATTATCTAAAGCTCTCTCACTACTCAGTTGTATCTATATAGTAAGAAATTGTTGTGTAGGTGAACTACAAACCTCAAATTCCCTCTGTCTGTATATTTGCAGTTGCTTTTCCGTATAAATCTTCTCTTGCAAAGAAATTCAAAGGCCTCTAATTGTATTCATGGACTATAACTGTAATTATACAATGTGCATTATTATTTAAACATAAAAAGGTATAATTATATATAAAGTCAATTGAAACTCTTTTTGCTTTGAGAAAGGGAACGGGTAAGGGAGGTATGGGTATGGGTTTTTAGGGCCGGTTTCTAGGGAGGTGGTCTGGTGTCAGTGCCTTCACAGGGTGGGGGTGTAATATGGGGGAGAGAGGAGAGGGGGTTGGTTGCAGAGAGTGGGAGTGTGATTTGGGGGAGATAGGAGAGGGGGTTGGTTTCAGAGAGAAGGTGACGGCGGGTGCACGATTAGGGGGACAGAAAGAGAGTTGATTGGGTACAAGATTTGAGGGTAGGGTTGAGGGAATAAATGTGTTGGCTGCAGAGAGTTGGTGGGGTTGAGTTAGTATCTCTCCCTTTCTGTCGCTTCTCTCTTCCTCCATCTATGACATCTTTGTTTTGGGGTCAAAATATGATCGCTTTTACATAGCAATTTGAGTGTTTTATTTATTTATTTGGGTTTTTGTAGCTGATGCATATTATGTTTTGTGTTTCTGGGTTTTGTCAATTGGATTTTCTGGTTTCAAAAATAGGTGGAGGCATCGACTAATCAGCTGGCTGATCAGCAGATGCCAGTGTATAATCTTGCATCGAAGATTCTTTGTCAGGTTATCAATGTATCATTGAAGGTAGTGTGGTGGCTGCTCTTATAAAGAAAACTAAGAATTCTGGATTTAATTGTTTAGCTGCTTCTTTTGTACTCAAGTTATTGGGCCTTGCGAGGGAATAATATGTTTCTTTCTGCTGAATTATAGGCTGAACCAGACACTGATGAAGTATTTGCACAAGTCACTTTACTTCCCGAATCAAATGTAAGTTGTTGGCTTGAGATTCTGATTTATTGTGGGCGGGTAAAACTGATTATGGGTTGAGATTCTGATCGTTTGATGTTATAAATTTTAGCAAGATGAGAATGCAGTGCAGAAGGAAATAACATAGGGCGCGCGTCCTTAAACGGGAAAAGACTTTGGTTAGGCAAAGCCAAATTAAGGAAGAGAATAGGTAAGGCTAAAACATAATCAAGTGGAAATTTTAGGTACAAAATGTGGAGTGAGTCAATGGTGTCCAACTGCTTTGCACCACGGCCACTTTAAAAGGCTTAGTTCTTTTTCCAAGTGAAGAAATAAAATGGCACTTGAATCGTAGAAATATTAACATCTATACTCAAATGAAAAAAACTGCATATTTGGAAGGAAAAAAACACACCAGCACACACATGGAAATAGCTGGAAATATTGGCAAACCTCACAATGTATATGCACGCTTTAGCAACCTTTATCTTAGCAATCCTCACTTATGCCCTGTACACATTCTACTGTTTAAGCAATGAAGAAAACTATTCTCAATGTCTCTAGCTATTCATTTATTATCTTCAATGATTTGGAAACCTGCTACTATAGTTTTCGAAATGGTTATGTCACACTCTGCTATTCTTCCTGTCAAAATGGGGAAGGTTTGCATGGCTATCACTCTTTCCAACAGGTTAGTGGGTTTCTCCGGATTTTCGTTTTTCTCTAGTAGAGAGACAAAGAGATAGAGAAAGAGGTGAAAATTACTCGCTGGTGACGAAGCTAATGAATTCGGAGACGCATTCCTGGACGGTGTTCGACTGATCGGCGCGAGTAAAGAGATGAGATCAGAAAGACAGAAAAATTAGGGTTTGAGAGATAAAGAAACTGAGGCAGAGAGAGACGGAAAGAAAGAAGTAGAAAAGAGGAAGGTAATTGAAACCTTCCAGCGACTTTGTTCTTTAAAAATAACTTTATGACAAAATTACCCTTGGATAATTTTATGCATTCTTTCATCACTTTGAATTTCTTTTGGCCGAGGGGCATTTGCATCCAATTATTTTTGTTGAAGCCGGTGACACCAAAACCGGCCTCCGGCTTTATATATAAAAGATGTGATCATTTGTTTCCTCAAGTCTATATTTTAAAACTATACCAAATTAAATTTGTAATGTTGCTGCTAGCCGCATAATCTTTCAACTACAATGTGAGCAAATTCTCTCAGAAGCGACTTTACTTGCGACTTGCTAACATTTGAAGTTTTGATCATAAGAAAAATAGAATTATATCAGTGGACAAGACAGTTAAATTCCTAAAAGAGTAATGCTAGGTTGACTAAATTTGTAAACTAAATAATGTGTTACCATAAGAAATAAGTCCGTTACTCAATACTTAAGTAATTGAGTATTGCTAGGGAGATTAAATTTGTATACTAAATTTTGGAAACTAAAGGACATAAAAGTTGATGATTGGTTTATTACTTAAGCATTGATAAACGTGCTCATTTTTATTGGTGACACATCATTTAGTTTGCAAATTTTGTCTCCAAATTTAGTTTCCCTAGCATTACCTTAAGTAATAATCTAATCATCAACTTTTATTTTATTTAATTTACAAAATTTGGTCAACATATCTATATTCCTTATGCATTTTGGGCCAAAAAGTGAGTACCCTGCACTCCGAGCCAACGTTTCACAGGCCTTATGAACATACAACACCGAGAAAAATGGAGATACGACGCAACTTTTTCTAGTTTGAACACTAAAATTTAAATTAGATTTTAATACTAATTGAAATGGCAAAGTAAATTTGAACAAACAAAACTACGGATAAAAAGTAAATTTGGAATGAAAGTTGTGATAAAATCTAAACATTGGTGACCTAAACTAAGGGGGAAATTGGTATTCCAGTAAATTTATTTTATAAATTGCTTTTGATGTGCTTTTATGAGCTGTAATGGGGTGTTGGGGGTTGGGGTTGGGGGTTGGGGGTTGGTGATGGTGGTGACGGTATTGGATCCTCTCCTGAGCAGGAGATCAGGATCCTCCTGACCCATTAACATGGACCGTTGAATTTTGATCCAACAGTTACAGACAGGGAATCCACTTAAAAGTTATAATAATCTAACGGCCCATGTTAGTAGATCAGGAAAGAATCCAATTCTGACGGTGACCATCGTTGCCCAAGTGGTGGCAACAACAACGTCCTTTTTCAATTTGTTTTTATATTTTTTTGAATATTACATGCATCCTTCACGTGGTCATGTATCTTTACTTTATTAATTTTACAATTATATTTAATATCTTAATATTTATTTTGAATCATAAATCATTTAATCATTCAAACGTATTAAATAATTGTACTTCATAAAAAATATATGAATTGGTACTCACATTGTCGATGTATTTCATACATTTGAATGCATAAACGATATATGTTTCGAATAATTGTTCTGTACAGATAATATTCAAATGAAGATTAAAAAATTAAACGCTTTTAATTATAAAATTTTTACATTGAAAAGGAATATCACTATATTGTAATACTAAATGACATTTAATTATCTTCTTTTTTTCATAAGATTTAATTAAATTGAAAGATTACCTATAATTAGTGTTTTAGACATGTGGCGCAATGAGGACAAGGAAAATAAAGAAGATATGAAGACCAAAAACGAATTTCCTTCAAAATGAGGAGTACAACGTACTGCATAGTGCATACACTGGAGTACAGTGTCTTGAAAGTGTACTACAGGTGGTAATATTGGCACTGTACAGAATAAATACGACTATTTAAACCCTAATCAGCTTTGCATATAAACATCAGTACCCTTTATTGAATGTGCTATCTCCGTCCTTACAAAAAAAAAGTGTATTTTCTCTCCGCTCTTCATGGCCTCCTCAATCTTCTGCCGGCTCTGTGATGCTGTTAGTAGTTGATTTTCTGTCTCCCTCGTTTGATACAAGGTGAAGTATTTCCTCATTGTTATAGCCTAGAAATACTAAGGAGACTATATTAAAAGTAAAATTTTCTCTAGATATATATGTTTATATTCACATATATGTTCTTAAAAAGAAATTTTCACTCAAGCTGCATATCAGCAAATAAATATGTGAAGGGGTATGTATACGCTAAGATAAAGAGTAATACTATGGAAACCATCAATTTAGATCATATTTCGTAAATTTAATGATGTAGTTGTTGATGATTAGATTATTACTAAGTGTTAATTAATATGCTTATTTCCTATTGATGAAGAGATTTTCCAGCACACTGAGAACATAGTCTGGTTACAATACAATTAGTTGGAAACTTGAAAATAAAAAATTTGCAATCAAATATATATTATGACACTTGGTGTTTTGGGTCGTATTTCCAGCATAGTGAAAAATTTTCCGTATTGATGACACATTACATAGTTTACAAATTTAGTCTACCTAATATTACTCTAGAGTAATGCTAGACAGAGCAAATATGCGAACCATATGATGTGTCACCAGTAGAAGTTAAGCACGTTAATCAACACTTAAGTAATCAAATCATCAACAACTATCACATCCCGGCTTGGGCCCCCACCACATCCCGAGCTTGACTCCACCGTAGCAAGATATTATCCGCTTTGGGCCCTAACCACGCCCTCACGGTTTTGTTTCTGGGAACTCAGACGAGAACTTCCTAGTGGGTCACCCATCTTGGGATTGCTCTCGCTTGTTACTCGCTTAACTTCGGAGTTCCAATGGAACCCGAAGCCAGTGAGCTCTCAAAAGGCCTCGTGCTAGGTAGAGATAGGAATATACATATAAGACTTACATGATCCACTCCCCTAAACGATGTGAGATGTTACATCAACTACTATTATAAAATTTATAAAATTTGATTTAATAAGTTGGTCCCTAGCATTACCAATACTGTAAGATCAATCTACTACCATGTGCAATACAGGAAATATGCATTTATAGTGATGCTAATAGGCGTTCATGATACCAACAACCAATTATTTGCATGATTTATTGCTCCAATTATTTGCTTCAATAATGGCCTTTATCCTTGTTTCCGAACCTCTCATTTTACCAAACCTCCATAAATTAAATGTGCAACACCTTATTTGGGATAAAGTGTGGGCTTAATTTTCGTTGTGCCATAGCATATTAGGTCACCCGTCAAACCCTATTAATTGTTTGCTGATATTAATGCAATTGATTGTGATTCACCTTTTATATGTACATTGAGGGCAGGTTTTTTTTTTTTTTTTTTTTTTTTTTTTTAATCTGAAAAAATAATTTAATTATTCTAATAGAAGGTTACAAGCCAACACAAAGGAAGGTAAAATAACTCAAATACATTGAGAAGGAACAGATACATAAAAGCCCAACCCAATCAAATAAATTAAAACAGAAATCTAAATCCCAAATTTTCAACCGCAGAAAGCAGCATCCGCCGCCATCATCGCCACAAAAGTCTTGCCAACAGCTACCGACACAGCAACACTAGAGAAAACGACTGAGTGGTGAAAACGAACAAGACATCGCAACACAAAAGTACCAAACCATCACCAAGAAGCACACCACATCCAGATTTCTTCACCAAAGACGTATAACCAAAAGATAGTCACCAAATCCAAATCTCATTCATGAATTCCTGCAAATATATAGAAACATAGTAACACATGGGTAGAAGCTGAGGATAAGGGGTATGTAAAATACCCTTACTTTGGCCGAAGCTGCAGTACACTTGGCCTCAATGAAAATTCGGCAAGTTTAGTAAACTGCCATTTGTTCATGGTAAATGGATTCAATGATTATGACAAGTTCATTTTTTTGTTTGAACAAACGATATTATCTATACTAAAGGGGATAAGGTGGGTATATAGATAGTTGAGTATATATGTTATTACAAAATTGCAATCTTATCATAGTTTCTGTACCATATTTGTATTATTTTTCTAATAAAAATGAGACATACATGTGTTGATCGGTAAATAGAACCCACATGTGTTGATGGACTCTACCTTTATTAGAGAAAAAGTACAAATATGATATGAAAAATGTGATAAATATAACATTACTCATGTTATTGTGAATGTATCGTTATAAAGTCTACACAATACTACAATATTAGCTTTAGATGGCGGATCATGGTGGCGGATATTAGAAAAATCATGTCGGATAAATTATATCTAACACATCATTTAATTAGTGGCGAATATTAGAAAAATTGTGTCGGTTATATTCAACATAAAGTCCTGGCAGATATTTGTTTTGAATCTTTTTTTTAAATATTTTTTTATAGATTATGGCAATTTTTAAGTTAATGGTGGCAGGTTATAACTAATAGAAATTGACTATTTTATTATTTTACTTTCTGGCGGTTATTATTTTAGTATTCTGCCGGTTATAACTGACATAAATGAAAATTTTGATTATTTTAAAATGTTATATTGATTAAAAATAAATAAATAAACACATATTAAAAAAAAAAAATTTCACTTGTGATCCTAAAGTCTAATGAACCTAATTCCCACGAGCCATAAATTTTATGAGAGAATAATAACAATAGACTACAATCTGAAGCTCTATCATTTTTGTAATAAGGATTATGCTCCCTCATAGGCAAGCAACAAGATACAAAGAAATTCAAACAATTTTTTTTCAATGTGTCACAAAGCACATTGTCTAGCACATAAACACACATGAACATCTGGTATACTCTATCATGTTTGATTTTATTATTTTAAAATGTTATATTGATTAAAAATAAATAAACACACGTTTTAATTTTATTTTTTTCCACTCATGGCCCTGTCGGATATAACCGATACGAACAAAGAAAAATTTTGGACGGCAGCCAGAATAATCTTTAAATGTTTTTTTTTTGGTTTTTTGTGATTTTTTACACATGCTATCTCGGAGTATGTACAAACATATTTGACGGTTGGATCGTTGAAACTAGTTTCGTAGAATGCATATCCTATCAAATTGATAGATTTAACAAACATTAAGAGTTAATGTTATACTTCCATTAAGTATAAAATAAGATTTATCCACTAGTGTAAATATTTTAAATTAAAGATCGAATTCATTCATTGCATTTTTATAGGATCGAAGAGTGTAGCTACAAAAAATCATCAAAATCGAAGCTAAAATAACCATTAAATTGTGATTTTTTATTTATAACCATCGAAAACTTTTGTTCCGTTACCTAATGTGACATCCCACATCGCCCAGGGGAGTGATCCTTAAATGTATATTCACATCTCTACCTAGCACGAGGCCTTTTGGGAGCTCACTGGCTTCGGGTTCCATAGGAACTTCGAAGTTAAGCGAGAAGGGGGCTAGAGCAATCCCATGATGGGTGACCCACTGGGAAGTTGCTCGTGAGTTCCCAAAAACAAAACCGTGAGGGAATGGTAGCCCAAAGCGGACAATATCGTGCTACGGTGGTGGAGCGGGGCCGGGAAGTGATCCGCCCCGGGCCGGGATGTGACAATTTGGTATCAGAGCCTATCCCTGGCCGGAAGTATGCCGACGAGGACGTCAGGCCCCTAAGGGGGGTGGATTGTGACATCCCACATCGCCGAGGGGAGTGATCCTTAAATGTATATTCACATCTCTACCTAGCACGAGGCCTTTTGGGAGCTCACTGGCTTCGGGTTCCATAGGAACTTTGAAGTTCAGCGAGAAGGGGGCTAGAGCAATCCCATGATGGGTGACCCACTGGGAAGTTGCTCGTGAGTTCCCAAAAACAAAACTGTGAGGGAATGGTAAGCCCAAAGCGGACAATATCGTGCTACGGTGGTGGAGCGGGCCCAGGAAGTGGTCCCGCCCGGGCCGGGATGTGACACCTAATCTCTGAATATTTGTTTTTTTGTGATTTTTTATGTGATCTTAGAGTGTGTACAAACAAGTTTGACAGTTGGATCGTTGAAAAACATTTCGTAGAATGCGTATCGCATCAAAACGGTAGATTAAACCAACACTTAAAGTTGATGTTATACTTCCCCATCAAGTATAAAATAAAGATTTTGTTGTATTCACTAGTGTAAATATTTGAACTTGAAGATCAAATTCGTTTAATGCTTTCTTATAAGGTCGAGGAGTGTAGCTGTAAAAAATCATCAAAATCGAAGCTAAAATAACCGTTAAATTATGATTTTTCGTTTATAACCGTCGAAAACTTCTATTTTGTTATCTAATTTCTGAACGTTTGTTTTTAAAAATTTTTTACGTATGTGATCTCGGAGTGTGTACAAACAAGTTTGACGGTTAGATCATTGAAAAAAGTTTTCATAGAATGTGTAGCGCGTCAAAACGGTAAATTAAATAAACACTTAAGAGTTAATGTTATACTTCCATTAAGTATAAAATAAGATTTTGTAGTATCCACTAATGTAAATATTTCAAATTGAAGATCAAATTTATTCATTGCATTCTTATAGGGTCAAGGAATATAGCTGTAAAAAATCATTAAAATCTGAGCTAAAATAACCGTTAAATTGTGATTTTTCGTTTATAACCATAAAAAACTTTTGTTTCGTTACGCAATATTTGAATGTTTGTTTTTTACGATTTTTTACGTTTGCAATCTCAAAGTGTATACAAATAAGTTTGATGGTTAGATCGTTGAAAATTTTTCGTAGAATGCATATCGAGTCAAAACGGTAGATTAAACAAACACTTAGACTTAATGATATACTTCCCCAGCAAGTATAAAATAAGATTTTGTGGTATCCACTAGTGTAAATATTTTAAATTGAAGATCAAATTCGTTCAATGCATTCTTATAGGGTCGAGGAGTGTAGCTATAAAAAATCATCAAAATCCAAGCTAAAGTAACCGTTAAATTATGATTTTTTGTTTATAACCGTCGAAAACTTTTTTTTTGGTTACCTAATCTCTTAATGTTTGTTTTTTGTGATTTTTTATGTATGTGATCTCGGAGTGTGTACAAACAAGTCTGACGGTTGGATTGTTGAAAAACGCTTCATAGAATGCGTATCGTATCAAAACGATAGATTAAACAAACACTCATAGTTAATGTTATACTTCCATTAAGTATAAAATAAGATTTTGTGATATCCACTAGTCTAAATATTTTAAATTGAAGATCAAATTTATTCATTACATTCTTATAGGGTCGAGGAGTGGAGCTGTAAAAAATCATTAAAATCGAAGCTAAAATAACTATTAAATTGTGAATTTTCGTTTATAACAGTCTAAAACTTTTGTTCCATTACGTAATTTTTGAATGTTTTTTTTCATGATTTTTTACGTATGCGAACTTGTAGTATCTACAAACAAGTTTGATGGTTAGATCATGGAAACTAGTTTTGTAGAATACATATTTCTGTTAAATTTGCCTAAATTTTGAAGTGGGAAAAGTAATTTGTACTAAATTTTTATTTATGTTTTCAAGTATTGATTAGAAAATATTTAGTTTGTGTGATGACATTTTCATCGTACAATTCTCTTTTTGTTTTTTTTTCCCCATATTTTACATGGATTATTATCTATTATACCAAAAGTGTAAAAATGATCTATTAAACTAAACAATTATTTATTTAATTTTTTAAAACGTATTCTATTTAAATACATATTATTTATTTATTTATTAAACCAAACAATTATTATTTTATCTTTTTTAAATCGTAGCAAAATTTTTTTTTGGGGGGGGGGGGGGAATTTTTGCCACTATTTTTTTCTGTCGGTTATAACTGACATTAATGATAATTGTCTGTAGTTTTTATTTTAAAAAATGTTTCTGTCGGTTTTAACTGACAGTAATAGAAAAGACTCTAAGTCCAAAATAAAACGCCTTCATATCTTCCTTGCGTCGGTACTTCTCCCTTCCCCATTTTCTCTCTTTATTTCCTTCTCTTTCTCTTCTCTCCTCATTTACTTCCAATACGAACACCTGCAACGAAAGTTCATAATCCTAATTCTTGAAAAGGGTACTGAGGGAGGAGTTGGGAGACGACCGTAGCAATCACAAGCTATTGGTGATTGATGTACAAGTTGTGCTCTTAGAGTCTGGTTTCATTGGCTTCGATTCGTTTTCAGGTATGCTGGCCAATCAAAGGACGAGTTCAATGATTTCGCTTTCGTATACTCTGCTTGAGATATTGCGAAATCGGGGCAATACTGGTAGAGAGGTTGAAAGGGTTGTGTTGAAGTTTCAGAATTTGGGGCATTTTGTGAATGTCTATAGGTCTTTGGCAAATGACGGTTCTTCGCCCTATCAAGTATGTTTGGACAAAATCAGATTTGCCCTAACGATTGAATTCGTTTATTAAACCCAAAATGTCAATGATAGAGATAGGGTCGTTTTAGAGTTATGGAAGATTGTGAAAGATGAGATCACATTCCCATTGCTGATTGATCTTTGCGCAAAGGTTGGTTTGCCTGCACCACCAAGCCTTATGCATCTTCCACCGGAGCTCAAAATGAAGATTCTGGAGCCAATTCTTACCATTGTTGGACAAGAAGAAGGTAACACTCTCGCTTTCTCTCTCTTTCTCTTTCTCTTTCTCCCTCTCCCTCTCTCTCTCTCTGTGTCTCTTATATAGGGAACTGTGGGTACGAATAAACTTGCTAAAATTTGTTAGTAGTTAGTAGTTATCCGGCCGATAGGTGATTGAAAAACTAGAATAATTTTGTGTTGTTTGTTTCAGTGGGTTGGATGCTGTTGGTGGTGGTGCAACGAGCAGATGTTGTCGCTTAGAATAGTTAGCATAACATTATGGTGCTGATGCTGCTCGAGACACCTCAAATACGGGGCAGTAAGGGACAACCCATCCCATGAACTCGTCAGACTCGAATGACCCCATGATGGAG